AATTGTTCATTTGAATGATCCTTCAAATAAGCCGAAATCTTTGCCATTTCAGCAAGATGCGAAACCTTCACTCTCCAGTCCTCTATTGTAGGTAAAACTTGACTCTTCCAATTTTGAGCTATCAGCAAACGGGCAGCAGTTAAACAATACACTTAATATTCATCCCTTAGGAGGACAGGTAGGAAGAGATGCAGCAAACACTTTAGTCATACATATAGTATAGGTAGATTTGATTATGAAAGAGAAGCCACAGCTTTAGTAGCAAAAAACCTCAAACACAGCAGCTGATGGATGTCCCTTTGGGTACAAAGAAGAGATATGATAGTCCTAACAGATGAGACTAGTAATTCAGATTCATCACTTCCTCTTACTACTATGTCTTAAGCAGGAATTCAGCCCACAAGGTTTAAAGGCCATGAAGATCACATAGCCAAGGATCACTTTTGCCTCAAAACCTCAAAGGGCAAGCAACCCATTCTGCAGACAGACATCCTGAGTAAAGAAATCCCACAAAAGATATGGCTTTATCCTAACTCCTAGCCATGACTTGATTAGCCAGGAGACAGCAAGTTGCCATCATTGCTTATATCTAGGTTATACTGCAAGAATTGTGTTTGAGTCTGTGTTGGTGTGAACTGTAATTAAATGCATATTGCAGAGATTGAAGCTATATGATGCTTGATTTCCAGCACTAAAGCCTAGACTGAACTGTGTGCCACCCTAAGGAGAAAGGGCATTTCACTCCTAGTGCAGTTGAATCTGGCTTTTTCTCTTTCCACGGATGAAAAAACAACACAAGAAAATGAAAGTTATTCGGGGGGAGGGGGCTCTGATACCTTTCAAACACAGCAAGGGATTCAAGAATCTTCTGTAATATTGTAAGCTTTGATCTTTTACAATAAGAAGTCAGGTGGATTATCATTTGGGGGGAGTCCAACCTAAAATGTGCCTCTTCCTTTTAAAAAAAACCTGTATACTATATATTGTTTTCATAGTAATGAATCTGTAGCAATACTATAATATTTAAAATAGATTGAAAATGAAAGTTTCACTTCTGATTCTTTCTCTTAAATAGCGGTCTGTATCTTAAATGCTAATGTTACAGTCTGTGGTTTCTCTTGTTAACGTCATATAAAGGGTATTTGAACTACCATAGAGTGACCCTTCTATAAACTTTATGTCACATTTAACCTTTTTTAAGGTTAATCTGATACCTGAAAGGATTGAGGTTTTGAGATAAGTTTAAAGCTAGAGATTGCCAGCTCTGTCCAGCTTCTGCACTCTTTAATAGCAACTTAATATATTGCCTTTTGCAAATAATTGTTTCTTTTCATACCATTAAACTCTTTTCCTTGGAGATACAAACTAAGGTGCAATAATGCCTTTTAAGTGAATGCAAACTGCAAACTAAGGTGCAATAATGCCTTTTAAGTGAGTGCAAACTGCAAACTAAGGTGCAATAATGCCTTTTAAGTGAGTGCCATCTCAAGATGGGAAAGTAAAACTGATAAAACATTAAATTTAGGACTAATCTAAGACTCACTGATTTCTATGAGTCTGCTCTACGCATGAAAAAAATCTGGATTCATTTCAATAAGACATTCAAAATATTTTCTAGTCTGCCTATAGAATTCTCCACCAACTGGCACATCTTGCTTCTTTGTTCCCCCCAGCATCTTCCATATGTTAAAAAAACAGGGCTTTTTGGGAGGGGAATTTCACATTACTGACATTGCATCATCATACCCTCACCACCATACCTATTGCCCTGTTTTTGTCCCTATCTTTCATTTCTATCTGCTGAAACCAGGGCTTGAAAATACATGCAATAAATCTTCTTTTACTCACTCCATAGATGTTGTTACATTCATACAACTTCCAAAATTCTAAAATTTGCATATGCATAATTTTTAAATCTTCTTCCTTCATTTCTCCTTCCCACAATCCCATTCTGCTCAGAATGGCATCTTTAAAGTAGATTATCATGATGTGTCCAATCTGCAATCTCTTAGAAGAACTTTTGAATTGCAGGTTTGGTGGTGTTTTACTATACTATTTTAATTGCCACAGGGTTTACCCATGCTGTTTAAAAACTGCAGCGCAATATCTATAAAGAGATGCTTCCAGGGGCAACAGCATTTATTGATGTTATTTCACCAACAAGCTTCCTTCACTACTATCTCTCTTACAACTACCAGCAGCCTTTTAGGATTTTGTTCTTTTGGTTGTTCTTTTACAAATTCAAGGAGAAATATAAACAAATACATAGAACACTGAAGACTACTAACAAGTTATTTTATTTAATTATTTATTTTTATATTACAATATTTAAAAGTTGATAAGGCCACCCAGCTAAATCAGTGTGATTCTGGGTGGCATACAACATAAATACATGTAATAATAATAATAATAATAATAATAATAATAATAATAATAATAATAATAACAACAACAACAACAACAACAACAAACAATTAAGATATGAGTAGCAATAGACGTGCTATATGAATAGACTTATATACCACTTCATAGTGCTTCACAGCCCTTTCTAAGTGGTTTACAGAGTCAGCATATTGCTCCCAACAATCTGGGTCCTCACTTTATCAACCTTGGAAGACTGGAAGCCTGAATCAACCTCAAGCCAGTCAGGATCGAACTGCTGGCAGTCAGCATAATTAGCCTACAATACTGCATTCTAACCACTGGGCCACCACAGCTGTTGCAAAAGTAAAATCCAAAATGGCAACCAACTCAGAGAAGGGACTCTCACTCAGCTGACTCCTATTGCAGTAAGGCAGTAAGGTTTATATAAAGCGATATAAATCTATATTTTAACAAAGCTTTAAAATTTTTAAAATATTAAATTAATAATTTCTCCTTTTCTAGTTCCTGCATTTCTGACATGAGACTAGATAAGGTGTTTCCTAAAGGCAAGAAGAGTTGTGGCCTGTTGTATACTGAAGAAAGAAGAAAGATCATTCCAGAGAGAATGGACAACATTGCTGGTTGGGGAATTCTGGTAGTTGAAGTCCATGGATCTTAAAGTTGCCAAGTTTGAAAAACACTGCTTAGAACTGAGGAGAAATTTCCTGACAGTGAAAAAAAATTAATCAATGGCTTGCCTTCAGAAGTTGTGGGTGCTTCATCATTTGAGGCTTTTAAAGAGAGACCTTATATCATTTCAAACAACCATTTTTCTGAAATGGTATAGGGTCTCCTGCTTGAGTAGGGGGCTGGACTAGAAGACCGCCAATGTCCCCTCAAACTTCTGTTATTCTATTAGATGGTGGTTACTAGTTACATATAACAAGACCCTGTCTTGAATTTTCAAAGGAAAGGCAGAACGTAAAAGCAATAAAATAAAGCAAAAGTCAGCAATATTTTTTTTAAAAAAATAACATGTCAGTGGGCAGAAATGAAAAGAAATTTGTTCATGATTAAAACAAAATGACAGATCATCATTGTCATCGATCATATGGAGAAAAGAGGATAAGCCAAATTTAACTATCAAAGAAATGAGACCCAGAGCACAGATTTGAGAAAATTTGACCTATAATAATAAATTATAAGTATGCAAAGATCTCCATTCTATAATTATATATCATAATCATGTCCACAATTTAATCTCAGTCATTGGGAAGCAGAATTTCTAAATAATTCATCAGTGGGAATTCTTAACTCATCCTTCACTTTCTTGCCAAATTCCTGACCAAGCAGTAAGTAGCAGTAAGGTATTTTTATAAGATGATGTATCATTGGTATTTAACACCTTATAAATTGTCAAATACATGTGTTACATATATGTAATTGGTCCAAAGATAGCATTTTTATTACCTTTGGTGGACACATAACAAAGCTAAGAATTATTGGGATCGTATACTATAAGTGCTTTAATTTAGAGAATTATTAAAAGAAGTGCACAATGGAAACCAGAGGTTTTTCTTTTAGGTTTGATGGACAAGCAGCTTGAGAAAAAACATGGGACTTTGTATCTATGTATGATAACAGCAAGTCTTCTCTATGGTGAAATTAATAGAATTGATTGAGATGGCGAAACTAACTACTTTGATTAAAGAAAACACTTTGTCTAGTTTTATTTCTATATGACGATTACTTAAAGAAATGAAATTTTTATTTTGAGATTTGACAATTTACATTATGATTATAGAAATACTGTGCATTATTGAATTTTAGAGCAAATATTTGTATTGAAGAAAGTTGGAAGTTGTTTTCTTTTTTTTCCTCCCTATTTCTTGTTCTCCCCTTTTTTTCCCTTTTCAATTCTTTTTTATTTTTTTATAGTTTATGTTTTATAGAAAATTAATAAACTATATACAATAAAAAATTAGTAGCAGTAAGGTTTCCTTTTAGTCAATTTAATGTCCTTGTGACTTGATAGATATTCCTTGCACTTATCCTGGCAACAGGAAGAAAAGGCTCCCCTTTTTCCGGGGATTTTTCCCCCAATTTCCCTGTCTAGTGTGCAGCCCTGGGGTCTCCTGGTAGTCTCCCACCCAAGCTCCAGCCAGGTCTGACCATTCTCTTCTACAGGTCTGACCAAGCCAAACACATGTTGCCCCTTCTTGAGAGAAAAGCTCAGAAGGTGAGAAGTGAGCAAATAAAGGGACACCGAGACCACAGCTCAGTGGGTTTGAATGCGAATTGCAGTGAGGCAACCCCTGTCACCCACGAAAAGGAGGGACGCGCTCGCCGCGATCTGGCGATTGGCGTAACCTCACCCACCGATACAGCTCAGCCTCCTCACGTTAAGCGTTTGCCGCCCAAGTGTAAAGGCACAGGTAGGCTTGGAAACCGGAGAGGAGGCGGGAGGCGGTCCCTCCCTTGACATTTAAGAAAGAAAGTTATAAGTGAGTGAGAGACATCAGGGAAGTATTTTGCCTACGTCTCGGGAAATTCCCTGACGGTTAACGAATAAGCGCACAGGGAGGAAGATCCTAGCTGCCGGACCCAGACGAGCGGCGCTCAGACGCGGAACAGAAATATCTCCAGACAAGACGGAGGCTGCCGCCTCAACGAGAAGCAGCTCCGCAGACGCGAGCCTCCCTTGGACACAACCTCAGCGGGAGGAGGTCCCACCATGGCCAGTAAGTGCTCGGATCGCGCGGTCAGGCTGTCTCGGATCGAGGTTAGCAAGGCGGCCCCGTGCCGCTTGCTCGTCACGACTGGCTAGAAAGGGGGGGGGGGGCAGAGATCAAGGCGCAGCGGCCTCACGACGTCTGCATTTTGGTGGTGTTCCTATTTCTCCGCAGTCACTTTGGCTTGAGTCCCTGGGACCAAAGAAAGTATTTTCTTTTTTGGTAGTTGGACAGAAAACCACAACTGGAGAGAAATTGCTTATCAGATGCAAGGGTTATAGAGTATTGACAAATACTTTGCTTACTTCTCGATCCTTTCCCTTTTTTGCAAGCTAGGGGAAAATCATTTGAAATTTTTCCTGGTATGAAAGTAAAAGCAACCGGAGAAAATTTTTGATGGTATGAGGCCAGGTTTTTGTAAACCATCTCAATGCAGGAAAACTAAAAACAAAATTACACAGACAAAATCCTCTGATGGGGTGCTCAATGTTGGGGGTGGCTTAGGGGTTAAAGAGAAATCCCCAAAACCATGTCACTTGTCCTCTTGTTTTTTTTTTAGTTTTTATTTAATTTTCCTTAATTTTCAATTGTTCTGTACTACCTTTTAATCTTTGTATTATGCTGTTAGTGAGAGGAGCAATATAGAAATTTAATAAATAAATAAATAAAAAGGAGGGCCTCTAGGTAGCCATTGAAGATTTGAATTTCTGTTCTGAAGAGCATTGAAGAGCCTTCAGTTCTATTTTTAATTTGCTCTTTATAGGTTCTTCCAAGCTAAAATGTTACTTTCAGCTGCTTGGAAAAAGAATAGGGTACAGATATACTGTAATTGATGACATACTAGAAACAGTACAGTACTGATTAAGTCAGTTGATATTTGCTATCTGAGAAGGACCCATACTATTTTGTAGCAGTGAAAGAGAGAGTCTTGTGGCACCTTCAGATCTATTATAGCAAAAAATTGTATTTTTCAAAAGCTGGTCTTTAAAGTCTCACAAAGTCCCTTTGTTTTGATATTTCGATTGTTAGAACACTTCTAGTTTGCAACTGAAGTTTTTTGTCTCCACTATAATAGGTAACTTTGAGACATTAAAGTCATTTTCTCACTGGCAGTTTCAACTTTTCTGAATAAAAACAGCTTTGAACAAATGTGCTTAAACAACCATATGTAAAAATGAGGTAGAGAGGAATTGGAAAGACACAGACACTATCCTAATTCATAATCAATGTAGGCTTTTTTAAAAAAAAAATTATAGTGAGTACTTATTGACATATCACTTACTGTCATTCAACTTTGGAACTTGCTGAATATTGTCTTGTTGCATTGGTCTATTCTTGGTACTGAAATCTGAACTGGTGCCTCCAAACCATGGAGGCACCTGGTAGTTACTACTTGATTTCAGCTGTTGCCCTATTGAATTACCTCTTTTATCTGCAATATAGCCTAAGATATGAAGGGAAGAGACAGTAAAGATTGGGGAAGTGGACAAAATTCATCTCAGTTTTGTATGTTTGTTCAAATACCCACCACTGATTCCAAGTTGATTTATTTCCACATAAGCCCTGTAACTATTTCTTTCTAAACACAGGTGAAAATTGCACAGAAGATTTCCATCTACATTTCTAATGGAGAGCCATAGCTAGGCTTCATTTTGTTTTTAAGAGGTGAACTGTGCCCTGTTTCTAAAAATTAAAATCTTCCATTTATCAGTATTGAATCCTTATCCTTTATAACATTTTTGCTGAAAAAAAATATTAATGACATATTTTGAAACTGTGTTTTTAAACATTATTAAAGTACATCAAATTTTCTTTACCTACCATGCTGACTTTAATGTTATTTGAAAGTTACAAAAGGTTTATAATTATTCTAATATATTAGATCATTAGAATTTAGACATGTTATCAGTTATTATATTTTAAATTATTGAAATGTAGGTGTGGTGTATAGTACAGTAGCATTTTTATCAATAAATAGAAGTAGTTGGTGGAAGAGCTTTCTATTGTGAGAATATTTAGGTGATAAATACAACATTATTCAGAAACTTTTACCCCTTACAATATTTTGCATATGAAATGTACAGTATACAGTATTTCATTCTATATGATTTGAGACATAAAAAATCTGCATTTAAGCCTTGTATCATTTTAATCATTGCACTTAGAATTTCACATAACGTAGAACATATCTTTTAAATTCCTGCTGCCAGCATCATTTGGTGAGATTAATTGTACAGTGAAATATTGATTTCAAGACCTTTTGGTTTTGATATGAAATAAAAACTTAAAGTATATTATAAAACATACCACACTGGGAAAGTTCATACTGTTATATTTCTGCTTAATATACCAAGCCATGAATGAACCTTTCACTTACACACTTTTACTTCTCTCTTTTCTTGAGCAAACAAAAAACAAGGAAGTCTTCAGTTAAATACAATTTCCTGTTATGTCCAAGTTTGTGACACAATTTTCTTTATTTAAATGTTTAATATTTGTTCTCTCAATGGATGTCAAGGCAGAATGTAATCAATAAAACAGTGCAATGATTTGTTAATATTCTTTAAATATAATCAAAAGGTTGGTCAAATTTCCTTGTCTTCACTTGACGTTGAAATTAAAGTATTAGCACTATCCATGTATTGGGCATTTTCAATTATATTTGTTAAAAGACAGGATTTGTAGATGCAACTTGTAGATGCAACATTTCAGTGACAAAATATTTTTTAAAATGTAGGAGAAAGAAGAAATGCTGTACTTTTTTCCTGCATTCTCTGAACTTGCATATGTGGACATTTCTTTAATGGGAAAACCACAAAGGAGATAAAAATTATATCATTTTACATAAGGTACTAAGCTTTCTCTCTGCATATGTAGAGTACCATGGATTTCTCTGGGCAAAGGCAATGCATGAGAAAAAATGGGACCTTCTAGGCCTGAGATTATGGGCTTAGGAGTCTGTTGGTTTGAGGAATGAAAGGAAAGCCTCATTGAAGGGAGTAGACTTTTGAGCCAATTACAGGCTAATGTCAATAAAAATAAAAGACTCACTGGCATGTGAAGAAACACCAAATATCTGACTTCTTTTGTTGCAAGCAGGTGCCTTTTGGATAGCCAAATCATGCCTTCCTTATAACATCAAGATCTTCCTGGAAGCAGAGGTACAATTTCCTTTCAAGTGGAAGCTGTACAGTTGAATTAATTTTAATCACAGGTGTACCTTCTGTCCTAAGCAGCTGCATTTCTTTTCTCTTGCCTTTTATACATTTTTTAATCTGTTCCATTTTTATTCAGACTTTTCTATGGGAGCTTGGCGAACTATATGGGGATCAGATTTTGCCCATAGCAGCCATATGACGTAGATAGGGTTGAGTAATAATGGTTGGCCTAAAATCACTAACTGAGCTCTATGATCAACATAGGTCATTCCAGAGCTCCTGCCCTCTGGAATGACCTACCCCCCGACCTACGTACAGTTGCGGACCTGTGCCTTTTTCGCCGAGCCCTGAAGGCTCATCTATTCCGTGCAGCCGGCCTGGCGTAGTTTGATTATGTTTTAGTGGGGGTTTTGTATGGGGTATTTTTAGAGCAGGCCTGTTATTTAATTTGATTTTAGACAGAAATTTGTGTATATTTATTGTGGTTTTTATTATCACCTGTTCACCGCCCTGAGTCCCGTAAGGGAGATAGGGCGGTATATAAATTCAATAAATAAATAAATAAATAAAATAGTGAACATGGCACTATGTAATATGGATACTGAGAGTCTTAGGCTTGGTTTTATTAAAATTAGAGATGGGGAGGAAAAGAACTACAACAAATACATAAGAAGCATATACAAAAGAGAAATAACAGGTATTCTTTAGTTATTTGCAGCTTATAGTCAATAAAGCAGTGATATTTGGTGAGAATCTCTAGAGGGCCTGTAGTTCATGTGTTAAATCAAAATAATAATATATAAATGTTGAATAATAATTGAAATCTCACAGGATGGCCAAATCTTTTTTTAAATATCGTTTCACACTTTTTTCTCACGAAAGCCTCAAGGAATTTTAATGACAGTGTGAGTTTATGACCATTTTTAATTGCTTCTTTGTTTAACTTGAATATCTTGAGGAAACTATTTGGGAGAGTTTATGTGTATAATGGCGTTCATAGACTCTGGTTAGTTTACCACAAAGAAGCTATCTGCAGAAGCTTCCCGTCACCATGTAAATAAGGATTTGGGAGGGGTTCCTTTTTAAATGTATTACATCCACTTCTGCTCTAGATACAGCATTTGAAATGTTTTAACACTTGATACAGGGTTTGTCTAATGCAACACCTTTCAAGAACATAGAAAAGTTGAAGTGAAAATTGAAAATTGGAAAAGAATTTCCAATCTTCTTCTGTAGAAAAGAATTGTCAAGAGGTCTTTCCAGCCGGGCACATTCAGAATGCTTAAAATGTGACTAATCTGTTTTTTAAATGGGCAACTAAGTTATTGCATCACATACGTTGAATTTTTGAAGAATTTTTTTTTCCTGTGAAGAAACACATATTTTTTGGAGTCAAACGTCAAGAACCATATGCTAACCACATGCAGATGAAAGGCAGCCCGGTCCAAATTGGGCATGACAACCCTTTTTCTGTTTATGCTCAATAATTTGCACAGGAGGATCTAGTTGCTTGTTAGATTGACGTGAGCACTTGATCAATTCACCTTGATGAGAGTTTTTGAAATTGCTAATGCAAATTTGAATATAAAGTTTGAATATAAAACCCATCAATGAGGCCATTCATTCCCATTTCTGTGGTAGAATCTTCTAAGTCTAGGAAACACTATCACTCTTTTTAATGAGCTAGGTCAGTGGTAGGCAACCTTGGCTCTTTTATGACTCGTGGAGTTCAACTCCCAGAATTCCTGAGCCAGCCATACTGGCTCAGGAATTCTGGGAGTTGAAGTCCACGAGTCATAAAAGAGCCAAGGTTGCCTATCCCTGAGCTAGGTATCATCTGAAACTATCTTAGCCTAAACTCAAACGATTTGTCCATTTAGCTCTGTATTGTCTATTTTGGTTGACAGGGGCTCTCTAAAATCTCCCAAAAAATTAATTGAATATTCCAGAATCTTTGGCAAACCAATCATGTGTTTTACCATTGGCCTAATTATATGTTCATACTTTGTCTTACAATTTTATTTTTCCAGGTTTTGATAGTTTGGATAAATATAACATTGCTTTCATTTGTTTTGTTTTGTTTTTAATTGCTCATGGTTTGGAATCTGACATGAGGAGAAGCTCTTCATTTAGTGAATTGGGATAGTGGTACATTTTTTCTTCCAAAAGATACGAAAACATTACAAATTAGTTCATACCTCTGGAAATTATAATAAATGAATTTCAGTGTAAACCACTTATTTTTCAAACATATATCAGTACATTCAGATATGGAGTTTTGTATCTACAAATCCTAATATTAAAAGGTTAATCTTTAGCTCCCAGTAAACTAAGTGTAAATATGTTTAGGAATCTATCACAGAATATTATTTAGCATATTTCATTACAGCCTGACCTTTTAGCTGTACCATTTTGGGTTATGGTATTACTTAGCAATTTGTTGTAAAGGAAATCCAAAAATGAAATCAGACCTGTAAAGTTGTTCAATAAACAGCTTCATGTTGAATCTGTTTATTCAAGTATTCAAGTGAGTGAGTTCCATGATCTCCTAGTACAGTGGTGGCGAACCTATGGCACGGGTGCCAGAGGCGGCATTCAGAGCCTTCTCTGTGGGCACGCACACCGTCGCCCCAGTCCTAGGCCTTCAGCTGGGTTTTATAAAACCTTTTCGCTTTAGGCCTCCACCGCCGTGTGCAAAAAAAAGAAAAAGGTTCAATCAATCAGTTACGGTAATTTCAGCTTCTCACAGGGAAAAAAAAAGATCTTGCAAAGTTGGAATTGATTGAACTTTTTAGTCCCACCCAGTCTGCTGTTACCACCGCAGCCATGCCCACCCAATGGGCCACACCCACCCAATGGGCCACACCCACCTGGCACCCGATGATGCATAAGTGAGTTTTGGGTTGCAGTTTGGGCACTCGGTCTCTAAAAGGTTTGCCATCACTGTCCTAGTAGATAACATACAGGTAGTCATCAACTTATGACCATAATTGGGATCAGATACTTGTAAGATTCCACACCCACCTATTTGCCTTGGTAGATAGAGTCTGTCAATATTTCTGTTGTTAAGTGATGCAGTTGTTAAATAAGTCATGCCCAATTTTACAACCTTTTTGTTACAGTCAAATCATGCAGTTGTTAAGTCACGTGTGTCAAACTTGCCACGTCACGTGACGTGTCGTGACGTATCGCGACTCTTTTTGCATTGCTGGCAATGGGGTGGGCGCAGCTTCAGTATGATGAAACTGGCCTGCAGGCCAGCAGTTTGACACCCCTGTGTTAAGTGAAAGCAGCTTCTTCTATTGACTTTGCTTGTTGAAAGCCCCCCCCCCAGGAATGTCACACATGATAATCACCTGATTCTGGGATGCTTCAACTATTGCAAATGCCCACCTGAGTTTTTATCACAGGATTATAGGAATGCTGCAACAGGCATAAGTTCAAAGCCAGTCATAAGTCACTTTTTAAGGGCCATCATATGTTCGAATGGTCACAAAACAAATGATCATAAATTGAAGATTATCTGCATTTTCAGCTTGATATCTAAAAGAAAGCTGTAAATGGTCCTCATATTTTTATAAATTAGGAGAAGTTTCTAATTTCCTAGTGAATGCATATGTATGTTTCCAATTAATCTTTTGCCTGTAAATGATCAAATTCAAAATGAAGCAAAAGGCGCTAAAATAGCACTGCTTCATAGAGTTTAGTGTTAGGACAATGTAAAAATAGACACTTTTAAGAGTCACTTTCATAAAAAAAAAAACCTGGACTCCAAACTGTATTATCCTAATCATTACAACTCAAGTACTGTATTGTATAAATGTAGAAGGAAACAACAGTGGTACTGTTATCTCAATTATGGTGCTGATTGTAGAATGGTACTACAAGTCCCAGGCTATTTAGCAGTAGACAAGAAGAACATAGAACATAGAATTACAGAATTGGAAGGGATCCTGGAAGTCATCTAGTCCAACCCTCTGCTCTGGCAGAAGACCCTATACCATTTCAAACAAATGGCAGTCCAGTCGCTTTTTAAAAATCTCCAGTGATGAAGCATCCACAACTTCATAATTGAAGAAGCGCTTTCACTAGTTAATTGTTCTCACTGTTAGGAAATTTCTTCTTAGTTCTAGGTTGCTTCTCTCCTTGATTAGTTTCCATCCATTTTTTCTTGTCTTGCCTTCAGGTGCTTTTGAAAATAGTTTGACCACCTCATCTTTGTGACAGCCCTTCAAATATTGGAATACTGCTATTATGTCACCCCTGGTCCTTCTTGTCATATCCAGTTCTTGGGTTCTTCATATGTTTTAGCTTCCAGCCCTCTAATCATCCTTGTTGCTCTTCTCTGCATTCTTTCCAGAATCTCAATATCTTTTTATATTGTGGTGACCAAAACTGGATACAGTATTCCAAGAAGAAAGACTTAGGAGAGGAGTGGAAAAAGAGCAAATAAAAGAATTGTGAGAATGCTGTGTCTAAATCTATTATGTAATAAAGAGCATGTAGAGAGTATGAAAATACTCTGTTGCAGGGGTGTCAAACTGCCAGCCCATGGGCCGGAGGCATTACGTGGAAGCCGTGCCCACCCATTGCCAGCAATGGCAAAACCGGCCCGATACGTTACGTGATGTCACGAGTTTGACATGCCTGCTCTATTGAGAGTATGATAGAGCTTTTGTGTGCTAAGGCTAAGCCATAAAGTAGTCTGCATGCTTAATCTGACACCAGTTAGTTCGGCTTATTTAATAAATGAATAACATGAATAACCATGAATAACAATGCTAGATATGTGTTTGGTAAAACACAGGTCCTTATTTCTAACTCTACTGAAGGCAAATTCTTATTGATAGTCTTTGAGCTTTCAGGAAAAAAGCATCATGAGATCCATCAAACTTAGGTTTTCTCCTTTATTCCTGATACTTATTTAGTGCTGATTTCTGCTCAATGTACAAAGTTGGTCTAAGTAGGCTAAAGCTGACAAGTACAATCTAGTACAATCTGTTCAGAAGCCCCCACAGCAATTTGTTTAATTAATGTTACCAGTAAACTAGGAAAACATAATTAAAGAGTAGCATTTAGTTCAGTCTGAGATAAGTGCATAAGCTAACTTGGAATCATTTTTCTCTAGTTGGAAATTGTTCCTCCTATAGACATATGCTGGAGATTTGCAGTGTTGAATTAATGCTAAAATAAAGGCAATCTGTGTATGAATATGTAATCTGTGCATATAGATCTTGCATGTTTGATCTTGAGCTTTGAGAACAATTATTCAAAGTTGAGCCTTGGTGAAGGTAAATGTAACCAATTTTTTTTTAACAAAGAGCAGAATTTAAAAAGAGAACAACAGTATCAAGAGATATGTAAATGTGGAGTCATCCAGTCTGAAGGGAGAGGATGGTCTTCAAGGACCCATTGGTCTCAACAAATTATTGACTCTCCAAAGATATAGTAGAATGTTCGTATAGAAGGTTTTCTCCTGTTTTCCAGAAAAACACAATTTTTCTGCTTGGTCATTTGGAACTGACTTCAGCCTGCCTGAACATTAGGCTGGCAACGTGATGGCATTTCCTTAGTGAGGACACGTATTCAAGAAATGATAAATGAGCTATCTCAAAGCCAGGATAAGGTGGCTATATGGATGAGCCTCAAGAGAACAAGAAAGACAGTACAGGGATAAGTGTTTGTTTTGATATCTTGAGTTAAGCCTTTGAAGCTTTGTAAAGCAGAGTAACTTACTTTCAACTGTGGCCATAAAATCATCAGCAGAATTTTGTTTCAATTTTTCCCAATAATAATGCCATTTCTGCCACAGAATGGGAAGCTTTATGGGCAATGCAGCTAGAGGTGATAAACTAACATCAGTAGAAACTGTGAATGTTTTATCCTAAAGGTGCTTTTTCAAAAGGCAACTGGACTTTCTTTGTTTTTTGCTTGAAGACGTTTCACTTCTCATCTAAGAAACGTCTTCAGTTCTGACTGAATAGTAGAGAAGGAAGGATTTATATTCCTTGCAGAATATACTGAAGAAGCTTCTTGGATGAGAAGTGAAACATCTTCAAGCAAAAAACAAAAAACAAAGAAAGTCCAGTTGCCTTTTGAAAAAGCACCTTTGGGACATCCATGACCTGAATGACTGAGAATCTCCAGAGACATGTGAATGTTTTACATGATTTTTCTTATCTGCTTTCCAGATTAGCTATTTCATCTTCACTTTTAAAAGCCAGTTGCTAGCTGTCATTTAACTAACTTAACATATGTTTTAAATTATAAGTTTATAATTGTTTCTTTCCTTTTAAAGGTGGTCATGAGCCATATATTGAAATACATGAGCAACCTAGACAAAGAGGGATGCGTTTTCGATACAAATGTGAAGGAAGATCAGCAGGCAGTATTCCGGGTGAACACAGTACTGATATCAACCGGACGTTCCCATCTATACAGGTATACCTATTACTGTGTCTGCTTGCTCTTTCACCCCAAACCTCTTTTAAAATTGGGAGTGGTGATTGTTTTGCTCAAAAGGCAAGGATTGTGCAATACAGTACATAGTTTAAGGTTCTCTTTCTTCAGGCAGAATGTGTTGGAAAGCTGCTGGGAAGATTAGATTTGCTTTCTCATTTGTCCTGCTCTTATGTTATGAAATTAAAATTATACAACAATCCCATAAATACAGATAATATTGTAAAAAGCTATGCTATGTAAAAAGCTATGAGCCTCAGAATTATATTGAAAAAAGACTTGTTGTAAAGGGACTGTTCTATAGCTTTTTTGCAATGTAACAAAAGCTGAAAATTTTGCAGTTCTGCAGGGGAAAGATCTCCAAGTTCAGGACTATGGCCATGAAAATTGTGTTAAGCCATGATTTGTTTAACCATAATTTACTGAATAAAGCATGGTCACACCACTAACTAGGCCATGTTTCTCAATCTTGGCAACTTTAAAATATGTGGTCTTCAATTCCCAGAATTCCCCAGCTAACACATATGGAGTTAGCTGGGAAATTGAAGTCCACACTTCTTAAAATTCTCAAAGTTGAGAAACATTGCACCATTTCAATGAACAGGCACCATACAAGTAGTAGTAGTAGTAGTAGTAGTAGTAGTAGTAGTAGTAGTAGTAGTAACAACAACAACAACAACAACAGCAACATAAATGATAGCAATAGCACTTAGACTTATATACCGCTTCATAGTGTTTTACAGCCCTCTCTAACCGATTTACAGAGTCAGCATAATTTGGATCATGTTACCGACCTCGGAAGGATGGAAGGATGGGTGAGGATTGAATTCCTGGTAGTCAGCAGAATTAGCCTGCAATACTGCATTCTAACCACTGTACCACAAGGAATAACTAAAATAAATCACAATTTCCATTATGATTCTTGTTTGGCATGAACTCAATAATAAAAGAAGAATTATCCTTCAAGTATACTGCTCTGGGACTGTGAGGATTTAAAGATTACAGTGAGCCTTTTGAAGCAAACCTAGAAAAAGATTGAGAAATCCTCTCTCTCTCACTTTGGACCAATTGAAATAGAATATAGAATTGTTTATCCCAATAGGTGAATCCAAAAGATAAATCCAGGAACCACTCATCAGGTGCAGAGGGAAAAGTCTAGCAGTGCCAACAATTGCCAGTCAGGATGTTGGCATAATTCCAGGATTATTTCCTTATTTCCTTTTAGGCACATCAAGGAAGAAAAGTCACTGTCATTTAACCTAAACAGAATGTTTCATTGCTTTGACTGGAAGGAAAAAACTCATTCAGAAACATTTGAATTTCTGATGAAAGTCCTGATTAGCCAGCTTTCACACTATTGCTCTTAAGCTACCCTCCAACTATCAATCCTTCTTGTCCATTCCTGGATCTTACCAGCAGAAAAATAAAATGGAGAAACAATGTCCATTCCAGCTGCACCTGGGCTATCTCTGTAGCCATAATATTTGTAATGATTTCTACAGCACCTAATCCTCTAGATTAGGTGGACTTCAGTGTCCATAATTCAGCTACTATATGGCTAGGCTAGGTGGAGAATGCTGGGAGTGTAAACCTATTTAGGTGTTGCCTAGGTTGGAGAATGCCACTGTACAGGTTGTACCACACACTTGCCAATAATCTCAGTTATCAGGTAACTGAGTCAGAAAGAAATTCTGATCTTTGTGTTGTGGAATTTTGTCAAAGTAAGGAACATGACTATCAGGAGAAGAACTATGTTTATTCCAATGATCATTGGGTGCTTCCTTTACAACAAAGGGGAACCCTGAACAAAGGAAAAACAAAGATTTTTATAGGGAATTAGCAAAGATGGCAAAATTGACTACTTTGATGAAAGACACAATGCTATTTAGTTGTGTTTCTGTTGGGAGACCATTTTTGGACTTCTTTCTTGAAAAAGATAAAAATGAAGTTTTGATTTTAGGATTTGACGACTAGATTTGTTTTAATTATGTATAGAAATATTGTGCATTTTTATTCTTATTAATAGATATGTATATTGCATTTATGCTTATATTTTAACTTAGAATAAGAGGGCTTTTTACATAATTTTAATTTATTTTTATGGTTTAATCTGTATATTTTTATATGATTTTGTGTTACTTTACTCTAAGAGATTACTTTATTATATATTTGTACCAGTACTGAAGAAAGGTGGAAGTCAATTCCCCTTTTCTCTTTGTCACTTTTTATTTTTTTTCCCCCTTTTTAATACTTCCTTCCCCAGTTTTCACTTTTTGTTATTTTGTATTTTATATGACTTCTTAAATTTAATAAAGTTGATTTTAAAAATACATATAATCCTAAAAAAATGTGGGTTACAAAGCAGGACCCGAAGTTAGTGTCTCTTAAGGCAGAGGTCCCCAACCTTTTGAGCACCAGGGACCAGTTCTGTGGAGAGAGGTTTTTCTGTGGACCGGAGGGGGCGTGGTTTCATGTATTGCCTGCATCCTAAGGATGGGGCTTTGCTTGTTTGCGCGGACCGATTTCTGGCATGTCGTGGCCCGGTGCTGGTTCACGGACCGGGATTTGGGGACCCCTGTCTTAAGGGTTTCAGGCAGAGAAAAGTCAGAGAAATAACATCTACCTATTGGTTCAGTTTCTTTCTACTAAAGCCATCAGAGATTGAAGCCAAGACTTTCCTGCATTAAAACATGTATTCTGTTAATAAGCTTGGTGCTTCCTTGATAAGTTTTTACTGAGAAAAATATCCTCATGCAGTTCAATAAACTTTATTCTCAGATATGTGAGCATAGGGTTATATCTTCAGGCCCTAATTCTTTGTCCACTTGCCTGTGAGTACTGTAAGGTCCGCTAATTTAAATGGGACTATCTTCTGTGTGTGGGTTATGTGGTAAATTAATTGATGAAATAAGATAGGAATCACATCTCACACTAAAATATAGTTTACTGAATAAAGCACCCTAGGTTTACACAGAACACCTTATTGTAAAACAAAAGGACTGATTAAAATGAAATTAAGCAAACTACATTGTTTGGCTCAACATTGAAATTAAAAGGTTGTAAGATTTTGGAAAATATGGAAGATCTTAGAATCGTAGAATTGAAACAGGTCATTAAAGTATTAAATGTGACTGTATCTCTTGGTCAATGCAAGATTCCTGATCAAAGTGTTTCATTTGAGCACATCCAGATAAAGGGAGCTCATTATTTCACTTGGTAATTGTATTACCATTCAGTACTTTTGCTTTCCTTAACTTAAAGCCATTATATTATGTCTTGCATTCTGAGTTTACACTGTATATGACACCTCTTCATATATTTGCAAACTCCTATCGTATTTTCTCTTAGTCATTACTGTCTCTCCACAAGCATAGTCCCTGTATGCTTTATGCACACTGATATTTGTTTACATCAAATATTTACTTCTAAGTAAAAGCAGATTGACATAATTTTGAAATCTGTCCAGAATATTATTTTTTTCCTATATAGTTTTCTATTGGAATTACTTCTACTTCTGTGATTTGGGAAGCCTTAATGTTTTTATGTTCCGCCATTGTGAAACATTGTGAAAAATGAATTGTTACATTATCTCTTTTCATTTTAAGCTAAAGTTTGATTTTCTTTCTCTTTTGTGAAATTGAGTGATCTAACTCCCCACAAAGAATGGGACTTATTTCTGAATGCATATCATTCAAAGTTATAAAGTCAGGGCTTGATGTTCTAGAATTTATTTCAATTTTTTATCTTTTATACCTGGTAGCAAAGCATATAAACTATGGAAGCATTGTCCTTCTTGTAAACCATCATTAGCAAGAATATTATAAGATGGTGGCAACAAGAATTAACTCAGCAGATGCAAAGCTTGGGTCTGTAGACCCAGAAGGATTCTGAGAAAGTTTGAGATTTATAACCTTTCATCCTATGAGCTTAATTATATCACTCTACTTATGCTTTGTGTTTCATTTCTTTTTAGATCCTGAACTACTTTGGGAAAGTAAAAATCAGAATAACATTGGTAACTAAGAATGAACCCTATAGGCCGCATCCTCACCAGTTGGTTGGAAAGGATTGTGAAAATGGTTACTATGAAGCTGAATTTGGGCCAGAGCGTAGAGTTTTGAGGTAAGTAAGTGGGTGTTGTTATATGAAACAGAACTAACATTTTTTTTCAGTTTGAGAATTGTTGTAAGTTCTTACATGTTATATTGAGTGGTTCCATAACAATAGGCAAGATCAATACCCATCTGGAAGGTGAGATACAAACTTCAACTTTCTCCAAGGTATAGGAAAGCCCCATAATGTTTCTTAACTCACTCCAAAAAGTCAAAAAATGTTTTAAAATGTGCAAAACTTTTATTCCACAGTTCTGAGGATTGCAGAAAGAATGCTGGTGAAACACACTTTTTGTAGCCCTGTTTTAAGTAAGGATATCCATGGGGAACTGAATACTAGTTGAAGTATTGCAGCCCTTTTCTTTCCTTGATTTCTTAATAGATACTTATTTAATTACTATTACCTTCTATTTCTCCAGATGGAGAAAATTAACAAACATCCCAAAGTTTGGCAGACTTAAAGTATGTCTGTGTCTTGAGGCTTTTTACAATTTTGTTGTACTTATATGCAAAGGCTGAAATATCCTGCCTGAAAGATCTGGGGTTTTTTTTTCATTTCTGTGCATTTTCTTATGATATTTATATATGATATACCGGTAGTATTTTCTCAAGATATTTAAACCACAGAGTTGTTGTTGTTGTTTTAAAAGTGGTATACTAAAGTAGACTAAAGTCCCCAATTACAATCAGTTTTTTAAAAAATTAAATTTATTCCAGAGGAAAACCTTTTGCAATATTGTTGCCCGAAGTCAAGTGTAAGAAGCACCCAGCCTTGAGATCACCCCAGCTGATGTACATTCCCACTTGATTGGTGGCCTTCCCTCCTTGTGTTGCTCCTTTACAATCTTCTTTATGTTCCTTTATGCTTAATGAGAAGGATACCTGTAGCCTCAACATACTCATACTGCGGGGGGGGGGGGGGGAGCAAGATATTTGAAGACTGCTGTACTTCCTTGGTGGCCAGGGAGCAAAAGGCTTCTATTTCACTTCCTCCTGCCCCTCCCCAGTAGAGAAATATAGAAAGGAAGGTATATTCTAAGCATCAACCCAGGTTGCCGAATGCATCTGAAACAGCAACTTTTGAAGTTTTTCCTCATAATAGGAAAAGAAAACAGTGAAGAAAGCTTATTCCTCAAAAACTGAAGGATTAATAATAGATTGGAAGGATTAGAAGAGATCTTGGAGATTATTTAGTTTAACTCCTGGCAGTACTGCAACCCACAAATACATTGTTTCTACTTGATGGCTATCCATGTTTAAATACTTATAGCAAAGGCAATTCTATCATCTTCTGAGGCAATACGTTCCACTGTTGAACAGTTTCTCATTAGAAAATTATTTCTAATGCCCAAATGAAATCTGCTTTCTTCACATTTAAACCCACTCTTTCTTATCTCCTGTTTGTTAGCCCTTCAGATACTTGAAAGCAGCTGTCATAGCTCCCTATGGTCTTCTTTAAGCTAAACATATCCAGTGCCTCCAACTATTCCTCATGAGTTTTTTTTAACTCTAGGCCTCTTATTATCTTGGTTGCTATCCTTTGGACATGTTCTAGTTTGCCAGTGCCCTTTGTAAAGGTCTGAAGCCCAGTACTGGATACAATATTGTAAGTTGGTCTGACCAATGCCAATTATAAATAATGACTCTTCATCCTGACCTCTGTACTTCTGTTCATGTTATCTTGAATTGCATTCATTTTTTCACAGTGGATCACATTGTTCATATCTTCCTTTTGATCCACCAAACTACTCAGAACTTTCTGTCATACTGTATATAGTTGCTCCGTAAGATTGTTTACTCATATCTTAGATTTTCTTATCCAAATGAAGGACTTTGTATTTCTTCCTGTTGAAATCTTGTTGGTTTCTACTCATTTTTTCAACTCATCATAATCCTCCTGAATATTAATACTTTTTCTAAGGTGCTGACTTTTCCTCCTGCCTTTGTACTGTTGGCAAACTTGATCATTGTGTTTTTAAACCCCTCATCCAAGGCACTGATAAATATGAACAATGCAGGGCCTTCCGTGTAGAATGCAGCCGAGTGGTATGGCATTTGTTATTGCCTTCTATCTTGACACAGAATCATTGGCATACATTTATTAGATATCGTTGGTCAACCAGGTCTTTATACTGTTAATGTTAGGGTAATCCAGAATTTAATGGAGGATTTTGCTGAAGCTAAGTTTGAAGTACATTGTGTCCACCATATTTCTGTAGTCATCTATCAAGAAAAGGAAATCAGATAGGTTTGTTCTTCATAAACCTATGCTGGCTCCTGCCAAACAATGGTTCTTTTCTACATGTTTACAAACTGTCAGTTTAATGGTCATTTACAGAGTTTTGCCAAGCATTAATATGAAAATCACCTGTCTCTAGTTTCTTGGCTCTTCTTTTTTAGTCTTTTTTTCTTTCTCTAGTCTTTTGGCACTACACATGTCACCCATGTCTTTTCAAAGATCACAAAAAAGCCCCCAAAGGACATCCTTACACTCCTGCATAATTTTCAGATATAACTGACCTGTATTTGAAGACTTAACTGTATTTGTGGTGGCCCGGTGCTCCCTACCTTTCTGTGATTCACTAAGTCTCTCCTTGCCAAAAAAGATGATAAATTTATTACTGTACTTCCACAGTTTCTATGAAATAGCCTTCTTCCGCATTCAGCTGCTTTCTGAAAGTCAACATTATTCAACACAAAGTAGTTCAGAGAAAAATTATACTGTGAAACTGCTGTCATTTAAAAGAAAAGCTGGTTGAACCAAAAGGTTTAACTGAGATTGGGAATTTTTCACTTGCAAACAGTATCACAGATGACTTCATTGCCAATGACTGCTGTTCTAAATATTTACTCAAGTGTGTTATTAATAAAAAAGTTTTGCTCAGAGATATCACAAACATCATTAGTGGTTGTTTACTTTTTTTCTTTGTGTACAAATGTACATGGGATGAAAGAAAAGTTGTGGAAAGTTGTGGAACACTAAGGCAGAATTGAAATCACACTGCTAGAATTGAACAATCTGGGATTTGTTTCTGAGTATACAAATGTAGATTTGTAGTATGGGAAAGATTGCACACTTATCTCTTCTGGTAGATTAATCAGTCAGATATTTATAAATCATTTGCTCTGAGGGACTTCTTTTGCTGTATCTCCAGAGCATTTACCAATCCTCAGGAATATTAGCACTTGGGGAGCCAGTGTGCAAGGCTTTGGCTCTTCTGTAATCTATTCTAATTTCTCATATAGCAATTATCTGGTATTAATTCCTATTTTGCATCTTCCCTGGGCTGAAGTGATGTCATGGGTTTTCCATGTGGGAAAGAATCAGCTAGCTGGAGTAGGTGGGGAGAGTCCCTTAAAGCTGCCTTGTGACCTGATACCATTACATGCAAATTAGGAAGCTGATGCTATTGTTGCTACTATTCAGAATCTCAACAGACAAGTGGCCTGGCCATAGTAACTTTTTCTCATGTTTTCTAATGTTTTATTAGTTTATAATATACGATACAATGGAAATACAAAAGTAAATAGCGGAAAATATGGGGAAGGGAAAAGGGAATAGAGAAGTGAGGTAAGGGAGAAAAAAAGAGAAAAATGCATTGACTTCTGACTTCCTTTGATGTAACAGAGTATCAGCTTCAAAACTCAACTTTTTACTTATACAAAATAATATAAACAAGCCATTTTAATAACATCAAGTCTGTCTAATTGCTAAAACCCAAAAACAAAATTTCATTTTTTGCCACCTCAAACACAAAGTCTAGAAGCTGTTTCCACGTAGCAATAAAAGTATTCGTATTTTTTTCTTTAATCAGTACAGTCAGTTTAGCCATCTCTGTTAGTTCCATCAGTTTTTGTAATCATTCCTCCATTGTAGGAATAAATGTAGTCTTCTATTTCTGAGCGTAGAGTAATCTTGCTGCTGTCAACATATATAACATCAAAGTTCCATATTTTTTTCCAGGTCTTTGTCCATTAGCCCCAAGAGAAAAGTCTCTGGTTTTCTTTCTATATTTACTTTAAGAATTTTCTGTATTAACATATGAATCCTACTCCAATATTTTCTTGCTTTATCACACGTCCACCATAAATGGTAAAAAGTCCCCTCTTTACCTTTACATTTCCAACATTCATTTGAAATACCTTTATACATTTTTGATAACTTGTCTGATGTTAAGTACCAATGGTACATCATCTTGTAAAAGTTTTCTTTTATATTATAATTTAATGTAAATTTAAATCCTTTATTCCACATATTTTCCCATTGTTCAAGCATTATAACCTTTTCCCATGACCACATGATTCAAAATCGCTCCTCCCCTTCTGCCAGAAAAAAACCAAATTTGAACTAATTCTTGGTGAGGTTTTTTTTTAAAAAAATCAGGGATACCTGGTGATAAATGAACAGCTACACTCTTTGTTAGAAACTTAGAGGAGAAATATACTTCTCTCTGTGGAAATATATACAATATCATACCTCTCTAGACCTACTATGATAATGTTCCTTTTTCCTCTTAAAATGAGAGGAGGTATCTAAAATCCAGAACTGCAATCCTATTGATGCTTATTTTAGAAAAGACGTTTCATCAAATTATAGGGGACTTCCTCCTAAACAAATATGCGCGAAATACAGATTTTAGGGATTGAAGAACTTTATGGTGTAATCCTCTACATATCTATTAAAAACCTGTTTTGCTCACTGCATATTCAGACAATGAAATATTGAATTCAGTCTCAATCAGCCAAATCTCTGGCTTTTGGTAAATTTTACCACTTACTTCTACCTGTATGCACTCAGTAATGTTCCTGGAATTTACTCCCAGGCAGATATGTATAATAATGTAGCCTCTTTCTCTTTAATCAGAAGATGAATCATCTAATTCAAAAACAATTTAAATATATAAGTGTGTAATTGAAGGGTGTTTTTTTAAAGAGGCTATTCTGCAATGTTACTAAGATAGAAAAGAGAAATGTGAAATATAGCATTGTCTCTGAATAAGTAAGCTCTTGTTTAGTACAGTTTTGGTTGATTATGTCAGTATCGAATTTTATTGACCACATAGATTTTCTCCAGGAGGATCTGTTCCTAACCTGTTCCTTAAAGTCTTCCACCGTTATGGCTGTTTCCTTTCACTTTTTCCAACATTATAGATTTATTCAGATAGCTACATCTTTGCATTATGTACCACAAGTAGGATAATTTGAGTCTGCATATTGTATCTCAAGTGAGAAATCTAGGTTAATTCATTTGATGATCCATTTGTTTGTTTTGTTTGTTTGATATTGGCAAAATATATATTTTGTGGTGCTTGAAAATATTGTTTTCAGATGATGACAATATGTTAATATTTAATATTTAATTGGTCAATTAATTGAATCAAGTACACATGCTAATTAAATACAGCTGTCTTTAAACACTTGACATCTCTATTTTCAAACCAGCATCCAGTCTATTTAGATTATATATTAATCTGCCTCAAGGATCCCCAAAAAGTATCTTTTTCAGTGTATACTACTAAAACTCTCATTGTATTTATTTGTTTGTCTATTTGTATTCTCAGGTTAGCCCAAACAGTTTATTATACCACAACCTAAAATCTGCTAATTTAAATAATACATAAAAAAATCTGGGACCCATTAGTCCTGTTGAATTAAAAATTTCCATGATGTTCAGACCAGTTCTACAGGTAGTCCTCAACCTATGACAACTGGGACCAGAATTTCGGTTGCTAAGCAGTGCAGTTGCTAAATATACTGGACCAATTTTACAACTATTTTTATTGTGATCATTAAGCAAATCATATGGCCATTAAGTGAATTATGTGGCTATTAAGCAAATCTGGCTTCCCAGATGAACGGAAAAACAGAGTTGAAAAGGACCTAGGAGATCTTCTAGTCCAATCTCCTGCTCAAACAGGAAACCATATACATTTCAGACAAATAGTTGTCCAATTTCTTCTTAAAAACCTCCAGTGTTGAGCGCCCACAACTTCTGGAGGCAAGTCATTCCACTGATTAATTGTTCTAGCCATGGTGGCGCAGTGGTTAGAATGCAGTACTGCAGGCTAACACACTGCTTATTCAAGGAGTTCGATTCTGAATGGCTCAAGATTCCAAGGTCAGTAAAATGAGGACCCAGATTGTTGGGGGCAATATGCTGATTCAGTAAACGGCTTAGAGACGGCTGTGAAGCACTATGATGTAGTATATAAGTCTAAGTGCTATTGCTAACTGTCAGGAAATTTCTCGTTAGTTCTAGGCTGGTTCTCTACTTGATTAGTTTCCATCCATTGCTTTTTTGTCTGCCTTCTGGTGCTTTGGAGAATAAGTTGACCCCCTTTTTTGTGAGAGTCTCTTAGATATTGGAACAGTTATCATGTCACCCCTAGTCCTTCCTTTGATTAAACTAGATATACCCAATTCTTGCAACCATTCTTCATATGTTTTAGCCTCCAGTCCCCTATTCATCTTTGTTACTCATCTCTGTACTCTTTCTAGAATCTCAACATTTTTTTTATATTGTGGTGACCAAAACTGCAATATTCCAAGTGTGATCTTACCAAGGCATTATAAAATATTTCATGTGATCTTGATTCCATCCCTCAGTTAATGCAGCCTAGGCTGTGTTGGCTTTTTTCGCAGCTGCAGCAAACTGCTTGCTAATATTTAAATGATTGTCCTTTTAAATTGTAGTTACTACTATTGAGCCAGGTACCATTTTAGATAGATAACCTTTATTGTCATTTTTTACTGTGGGCACACTGGCACACTTTAAAAATGAAATTCTGTTACCTGTGCAATTGGTTTTTCATGGTAAATGTAGAGCCTTACTTTTCTCATCACTGAATTTCATTTTGTTAGATAGGGCCCAATGCTCAAGTCTGTCAAGATCCTTCTGTATCTTGAGCCTATCTTCTGGAGTGTTGGCTATTCCTGGCAGCTTGGTGCCATCTGCAAATTTGATGAGATCCCCATCTATCCCCTCATCTAAATCATTGATGAAGTTATTGAAGAGTACTTGGCCTAAGACAGAGCCTTGGGGTACCCCACTGCATAGTTCCCTCCATGTAGCTGCAGTTCCATTAAGAACTACACATTGAATGTGGTTGGCCAGGCAGATATGAATCCATCTGATGGTGATGCTGTCTAAGCCACATTTTTCTATCATATCAATTAGTAGGTTGTGGTCTTCTTTATCAAATGCCTTACTGAAGCCAAAATAAATTATATCCACAGTATTTCTCTGGTCCACCAATTTTGTCACATTGTCAAAGATTGCAATAAGATTTGTCTGGCATGATCTGTTTTTGACAAACCCATTTTGGCTTCTAGTTATGACTTTGTTTGCCTTTAGGTGTTCACAGATTTGTTGTTTGATTATCTTTTTCCAGAATCTTCCCAGGTATTAAATGTCAGGCTGCTAGGTTTGTAGTTTCCTGGATCCATTTTTTTTCTTTTTTTGAAGATGGAAACTACATCAATCCTTTTCTAGTCATCTGGTAGTTGCCCAGTGCTCCAGGAACCTTGAAAAATATGGTTCAATGTTTCTAGATCACATCTGCCAATTCTTTCTGGTGTAAACCATCTGGTCCTAGTGTTTTGAACTCATCTAGAGTGGATTGATATTCTCTTACCATTTTCTTGCTTATTTCGACTTGCATTCCTAATCTGCATTTTACAGTATTTTTGCTTGTTGGAAGTCAAATGGTTACAAATTGGATTCACATGACCGCAAGACACTGCAAGTGTTATAAATGTGAGCTGGTTGCTAAGCACCCAAATTGTGATCACATGTCAATGGGGGTGGTGTGATGGTCATAACCTCAGGCCAACACCAGCCAAAGAACTGACAGTAGTAGTCATGAGGTAAAATAACTCCACCCAGGAAGCTAAGTTATGGGAATGCCCAAACCCAGTCAGTTGCTGCATTATGATTCAGAATTTTTTCACATTCCCGCTGGCAACTTGTCTTTTACCTTCTGTACAATAGTCATATCGTAGAAGGTGTGGTCCTGGAAAGGGATCAGTGAAGCAGATGCTTTATGAATGGAAGACATCTGTTTCCCCTCACTTATTGCATTCAGAAATTGAATGAGATGTTTGCAGTGTACCAATACTTTTGTGCTTTCTTCCACATAGAATGGTGGGAATTACTTTACAAATTTCATTGACCCTGAGGGAAAATACAAATAACTTGGAATGATGGCAGTGGTAATTCAGCCTTTACTATCCCAAGCAGCAGAAGAAATTACAGGTAGTCCTTGTTTAGTAACTGTCTTGTTTAGTTACCATTCACAGTTATAACGGTGATGAAAAAGTAACTTTACAACCAATCCTCACATTTATGACCTTCACAGGTCTGTAAAGCAAAAAAAAAAAAGAATGAAGTACAATCATAAGCACAGTCACAATTTCACTTATCAACCAAATTGTTAGTCCTACTTGTGGTCACTAAACAAGAACTACATATACAAGTCAATATTTGGGTTTTGAATAAAACAGTGGAATGAAAGAAAAGCAAAGCATGCCTTTTCATTAAGTAGATGATATGCTGCCAAATGCCAGTTTCATTTTATTTCTCAAGTTTTTCTTTCTAAAGAACTGTAAGGGCCTGGTGGGGATTAGAATCCAATGTTCACATAAGGCAGGGGGCTTCAAACTTGGCCCTTTTATGACTTGTGGACTTCAACTCCCAGAATTCCTCAGCCAGCGTGCCTGGCTGAGGAATTCTGGGAGTTGAAGTCCACAAGTCATAACAGGGCCAAGTTTGAAGACCCCTGACATAAGGAGACATAGGTATTTGATTTTATGCAACACACCTGAGCTTGTTCCTCTTCACAGCCCATCTGATGCTTCCAGAGAATCAGGCTAATTTGTGGTGCTGAGTTTGATCTTTAAAACCCTTCATGGCTTGAGGCTGGATTATCTGAGGGACCATCTCTTCCTGATCACATCTGCCTGTCCCATCAGATCCAAGGCATGCCTAACCCTAACCCCCCCCCCCCTGAAGTCAGCTCCTTCCCTCCTTATTTTCCAGAAGTTCCTCAAGACATGGGGGGCTCAGGGGACTAATGAGATTTTCAGGTGGCTCCCTTGGTGATTGAATCTTGTGTGTGTTTAATATGACTATGTTTGACGTGTTTATTATTTTATACACTGCCCAGAATCACTTCTTGTGTGATGGGTAGCTATATAAATAAATATTTTGAGTGAGACACTTTAATCTCAAATGCTTTTTGAAGGCCTTTGCTGATTTTTATCCAAACAGATGTTTACTCTCCTATCCTTAACTAGATGGACTTTTGATATAATTTAGTATAGCTGTTGTTATGGCTGCTTCGGTTCTTATTCTTTGTCACTTATTTAAAAAGGAAAATTATGCGTCTCTTTTCATGTGGCATTTAAATGTTTGAAAGTGGGTAATAAAAGGCAAATTACTATCATGACATCTATCTTAGTTTTATGCAGGATCTCATAAAATCTTTTTAATATAAAGTATTTGTCAGAATTAAAATTCCACAATGATTCATTTTGCTACCAATATGGTAGAGTCCCTATAGTTGTATCATTGTTATATTTATTTTAAGCATCTAACTCTCAAATGTATATGCTATAGTTTTCAGAATCTGGGCATTCAATGTGTGAAAAAGAGAGAACTCAAGGAATCTATCATTTCGCGAATTGCTAAGAAGATCAATCCATTCAATGGTAAGTAACCACTGATTATTAATTGCATTAATGACTGTTGAGACTCCGTAATCATTTGCTTTTCAAACATTTTTGAAATTTTACCCAGTAAAGTATTTACAGTAAGTCTACCCATAAAAATGTACACTATAATGAAAGTCAGAATGAATTACACTATTGGCCACATGTAACTCAAATAATAAACCAGGGGGAATAAATTTTATTTTTACTTATTGCTATACTCATAAGTCTTTGTGAACCATGCAACTCACCGTGTGAAAATATAGATCTTTACAGCAAGTCACAGTGGATCATATACAAATACCTTATAGCAAGTCATTTCTCTAAGTCAGGGCTTTTCAACCAGTGGTACGGGTACCACCTGTGGTACATTGGCACCTTGCAGGTGGTACGTGACCATCCTAGAAAAGTGGTAGTGGGGGAGGGAAATGAGCTGAACCGGTGGCAATATCGCACAAGCCTGAGTGAGAGATGGCTGGAGCTGCAGAGCTGTCAGGGCTCAGCGGAAGCACCAGGATCAGTGCTGCTTTCCAGCTGATCGGTGCTTCTTCAGGACTGTCAGGGCTCAGCGGAAGCGCCAGGATCAGCACCAGGCTCCAGCTGTAGCTCGGCGCTGATCCTGGTGCTTCTGCTGAGCCCTGAAGAAGCACCAATCAGCTGGAAAGCAGCACTGATCCTGGCACTTCTGCTGAGCCCAGAAGAAGCGCCGATCACCTGGAATGTTGCAGCATCTCCAGGGTGTTGTGATTTACATTCAGATGCTTGGCAACTGATTCATATTTATGACGGTCACAGTGTCCCAGGGTCATGTGAAGTGACCAAAACCTGCTGCAACCACCCAGCAGATGGGGGGGAATAAAAACCGAACACCCCCCCACCCCATCCCCGCTGCCAATCCTCAACAGAAATGCTCACAACAATGAAAACCTCGGACAGGAGGAAGAGCGCCGCTGGGTGGGCAGGCAGGTGTCTTGCTCGGCTGTGGCTTGGGGGCACTTTTTCAGTGCCATTGTAACTTCAAACAGTCACTAAGTGAACTGTTGTAAGTCGAGGACTACCTGTACTTCATCACTTTTTTCCTTTTTTTTGTCATCAAGTTTTTGACACCTTGCTAGGCAACTGGTGGTACTCGGATATTGCCATATCCTAAAAGTGGTACAATGGGTGAAAAGGTTGAAAAGCCCTGCTCTAAGTATCTAGTAATATGTGGGTAGTTCTCTCTTAACATCCATTTGTTCAGTGATTGTTTGAAGTTATGATGGTGCTGAAATAAATAGACTTGTGACCAGTCCTTGAACTTACAACCATTGCAGCACCCCTGCAGTCATGTAATAAAAGTTCGACCCAGTCTGCATTTACAACTGCCAACCCTGCACCCCTCCTCTCCCGAGATAATCTTCATTTTCCCTTGCCTTCCCTCTGCTGAGCTTACCATCCAGGCTACATGTGGGGTGACACCATGGATTTGGGGTTTCTTGCTGCACTGCAGCTCTGGGGCTTTTTGCACCCTTGTGCACATTCCCCACCCGACAGCAGCCAGACTCACCATGCCTCAATAGACACTTGTTAGACCCTCACACACACACCCAGCCCTGCTGCACCCAGTCTATACCTCACAATCACTCACCCACCATCCTACATTCTCCCCCAGTCCCACTGCACACAGCCCATACCTTGCCAGCCAGCCGCCCCCCCTGAGTTTGTGTATGTGTCATGCCTCACTGGCCACCACATATCCTTGCGCATCTTCTCCCAGCCCCTCTGTGCTCACGGAGTGCCTTGCCACCCACCTGTGCACCCGTGAACAGCAAAATCAAGAACGAAAAGAGAAATGTGTGTGTGGTGGTCCATGTATATGGTTTAAAGGTCAAAGTTTAATACAGTAATTTAATATCTGATCAGTTCTATCTTTATTTAGCCATATCAGAAAGCCATTGAATAACTTCAGTTCAAGTTCATATGAAAATGATACCTTTGTCACACACTGTAATCCTCCCACAGTTCAGTTATTCCACTGAAACTGATACGTCATGGGGAAGCTGTGGTCATGAGAAAGAAACACTCTCTTTGATGGGCTTAAGCATTGTTTCATATCATTGGCAAAGGGATGTAGCATTTAAGGGTAGAGATAATTCAGCAGTACTACTATTAAAACCACAAAGTTTGTTAAAGCAAGGTTGCATCTAAGCTCAGTATGATTTGTGGACACAAATTGGGTGCCATCAGGCTCTGGCTAAGCAGCAAATAAAATTATCTTGAGATGCAAGCACAGACTAGCTCACCATATCTATATGGTGATCTTGGCCTAGAGCTTAGTGATTTCATCTGGTACTGTTCACAGTTGTATGATACTTTTCTTAGCTTATATTTTATCAGATCTTTTATTTCTGGAAACTAGAAAAACTGATTCTTCAAGCAAAGCCTACAGAGGATGACAATTAAACCAAATTTAATTGAAAAGCTGTATAGCATCTCTCTATAAGCATACAGGAATAAAATTTAGCAGATCGGCTCAGAATATCAGAACATTGAACAGTTATGGTTAGTAATGATGAACACATCTATCTGGGATTTCAATCAATAAGAATTATAGAATTGGATTAGATTAAGTAAGGCTTCGAGAATTCTGCATAAATCTTTTTTCCAAGGAGTGGCATACACATTTTTAAAATGAATATAGGTTTCCTTTTATAGACCCTGCACTAGTAAAGCCTAAAACTAGCTAATACTTCTTTAATCCTGATTCCATATAGTATCAAAGAAAGAAAAATATATAAAGGAATTTGATTTAAGGGTTAGATTTTAGTTGCATTTATAAGCATTACTAGGCAACAAAACAAAAAGGGGTGATAGTTAAAAGCATTGTAAGGTAAATGAGCAGAATTCTGAACAAAGCAAGCATGCCAGAAATAGCACAATCTTAAAGAAAACTGGAAAAAATAGGTAAAACATTTAGAGAAGTTGAAAAAATAATACAAAGCACCTGGATTTGGGAAAATATCCTGAGCTAATATGAAAAAGAGAACACAAAAAACAAGTCCTCAATCCAAATAACAATATTCAAGGCAAAAAAAAAAAAAGAATAGCCAAATAAGAGAAGGAAAACAAGTCTTGCTTCTTATGTTATTTTTCTAACCAGGCAGAGTCTATTGGTCCAAATAAAAGTGGCTCTATCAAGCTAATCGTCTCTAACCATAACTCTAAATGACTAAATTTTAGTCATTTTTCCACATTTTATTATTGAGCGATTTTAGGAAGGCATGTAGACCTGAGCAAAACCTTTACCAGCACTCAGGCCCCACCCTTATTTCACATATTCAGACCATTGCAAGACAAATAAAGTAAAGAAGACAAAAAGCCATTGCAAAGGAGATGGTTGCCCCTAGCCAAAAGTGCCCAGAAGTGTAAAGCAATCTAGGGCAGAAATAAAGGGAGAGAAGAAAAGTACACTAAAATGACCCAAGCCACACTCCAGGATTCTAGCAGACCCTGGAAAACAGGCAGCAGATACCATAGGCATTCTCAAAAGTCTATGCTAAACATTCAGAAAGTGCTCCCAAATAACCCTATCTGAAGATTTTTTTTAAGATTTATCTTTGGGAGCATGTGGGAAAGTGAATGAATGCTTTTGGAGTTTGGGTGAGAGAAGCTGCTCTTTTCCTCATTTTGAGTTATTATTGGTTGTGTATGCTGAGAGATCATGGCTAAGTTGGCATCTGCAGGCCATCAGTGCTAGTTAGGTATGTTTAAATGTCTGCCAAGGTTATGACAATGTGTTCTATTATGGCTTTTGTAACTGCTGGAGAGCTTGGAGGATTGAGTAGTCAAAATAGGATAATTATCCCAGTTTTGTGAAAGATATGATATTCATATGACATGGAATTTTAATTCAGAGAAAAATGCTCGGCTGTTATTAAAACTATTCCTTCCTAACTGTATGGCAAGTTCTCATGATACAGTAGAACCCGATAGTGTTCTCATGATACACTAAATCTGGCATGATTGGCATTGTGTAAAAATAGCCTCTGAATTACTGACTGTATTTTCTGATTAAAGATGATAAGAAACTTTGAGAAAGTGTGCAGCTATTGTACGAAGTTGACTTGACCTTTGTTATTTGCAACATGATTTCTAATCTATATTTGTTTTGTAAATAAATGTGAAGATAGCAGGACAGCAAAGAGGTAGGAGTCTGGATCCAAATCAGGACTTTGTGTATAGGTGACTATTTACTTTGTGAGTCACAGCATGGTGAAATGTATAAGCAGATGAGGAAATGTGATTGGTGTTTTGGGCGGTAATTGAGTGGGTGATATAGAAAATGTTTAATGGGTAGATAGGGGCTCATATTTCTGACCATGTGTGAACATAGAGCGAATTGAAAGTAGGTGGTGTTTCCTCACTGTGGTCATGGAGCTGAGAAAGGTAGGATCATGAGATACAGCACTTAGTCACTTTTCAAGTCTGACATTATCACAAAGATCATGAACTTTCTTATTTTTATTACAATTTAAGTATTTTAATTTTTTTTATATTTCAATCAAAAGCTCTCATTCAGAATCTCTAATATCTTAGAAGTGGTTTTCCAACTTAAAATATTATGTAATGCAGTAGAACTAACCTACACAAAGGATGTTGCTATTTTTGCACTGTTTGCCTCTTTCCAGACTTGGCTTTAGATCAGATTTCATTCTGCCTGAGCATCCTCCAGTCAACACCTGGAAGGTGTCCGGGCTGGGGAGGACTTTGTTACTATGTGGTGAATTCAGTTCCATGTTAGGCATGAATGCCAAGTGGAGAGGTCACTGTTGGGGCCGAAAATCCTTGAATTTTAAAATGAATTGATCAAACCATGTGAAATTCAGAAAGGCACAAGGCAAGGCTGTCCTTTGTTGCCACTGTTATTTACCGTATTTAAATTTTAGAGTAGAGACATTAGTCAAGACAACAAAATTAGGGGTGTAAACATTACAAAAGAGACTTATAAACTAAGAGCTTTG